CTGGGGAGCAGAGAGCATGTGAGGGTCCCCATCCCCCAGGCAGGGGGCCAGCTGTGGGTCTGCGTCAAGCTCTCCAGGACCCGAGGACTGGCTGGGCAGGGTGCTGAAGCTGCGGTAAGAGGGGTTGTCTGTGATGACGACAGCGGGCAGCTCTGTGCCAGCCGGGCAGTCTGGGCTCTGCGTCAGAGTGGCTGGAGGGGTTGGCTCTGGGCCAGAAGGCTGCTCCCCCCCCTGATGCGACAGCTCCTGGGGCTCCTCACTTGGTTCCTCAGCCCAAGGCATGTGCGCGCTCACGCTTCCTGAAGGTGGAAGAGGGCAGGGCTCCCCGAAGCCCTGCGAAAAGCCGCCATCCTCACCCCCGAGGAGGTCCAGGAACAGGCTCTCTGTCAGCCGGGCCGCGATGCCCGCCCTGCCCTCCTGGAAGCCCCCGCTGCTCTCAGGCGAGGGGCAGAGGCTCCCTCTACCTTCGCCCGCTTCCTCCTCGCTCTCCACCGCGGCCTCTAACAGCTCCACGCACTTCACCACGCTGATGCTCTCTGGCCAGAGGACCGTCCTGCTGACCTCCACAGGGCGCCACGCTGGTCCTCCAGGACCCTGGACAGGCCCGCTTCTTGCAGCCTTGGAGGAACTGTCAGCCTTGCCCACGCCATGCTCCAGCAAACAGGGCAGGAGCTTAGCCAGACAAGTCTTCCAGTGTCTGCAAAAGCAAAGTTTGGTCAGGGTTCCGTATCTCCCCTTGAAAAACTCCTATTCATCCTTCAAAACCCAGCTTGAAGTCACCCTGGACTGATATCTACCTATTGCAGATACGCTTCCTGACTTTACAATCAATAATCTATCAGTGTATCCCACTACTACCCTGGGAGCCCCTTGAAGGCAGGGTCCCTATATTCCTTTGGGATGTCTGCAGCTTAGCATACAACCTGGTACCTACTACAAACTCAGCCTATTGAATAAATAAAAGTCTTTGTCAGGGATGGTAGTATTTAAAATACGTATCAGCACACAGCATAAGGAATGACCAGTTAGAATGGCTGTGGATCCTAGGGCTCCCAGTGTCCTAAAGTCCCCTGCTGTGCCAGGTCTAAACCCTTCAGTTACTGCATTGGTCAGGGCCCAGGAGGCCCTGAGGAAGGAGCTAAGGAGGCTAATGTGATGGTGGCACACTCAGGGTTTAGGACAGTGGTATTCACCGACCACTATGCAATTAGATCAGCATTTTAACAACTGGCACAGCTGCCCCAGTAGTCAAAACCAGCCTTGCTCAGGCCAGACTGTGCATTCCCAAGGGGTTTCAGCACAAGCCTGACCCGCCCGGGGATATTCAGGGGGCTCAGCCAGCAGCCCACCTACCCAGACCACTCCTCCTCCTGCTACCCCTAGAAGGGAAAATGCTGAATGCCAAGGAAGGAAAGGCAGGCATGGAGGGGGAGGACCCCACTCTCAAGATGGGGCCCACCGTGCCAATTCCAACCCCTTCCAAATCCACATAGGCTACGACCGAAGTTCATATACATACGGGCACTTGGCTGGTTCCTGGCCTCCGGCCCTCTTCCCCCACGGTGGCGCCTGCAAATAGAGACAGCCAATAAACAGAGTGGAGAGGGCTTCCCAGTCAGCCTGCCACAGCAACGCTCATTACTGGCCATGGGAAGACTGTAGGCCCTGACGTCACATGGGTCTGAGGTCAGACCAGACCACTTCAGCTCCCAGAGCCTCAGTCCCTGGGAATGAGCGAGACCACATTAATATTAAGTTGCTGTGGCTGACAGCAAAAATGGCCACTGTCATCTGCAGCTCCTTCCAGCCCTTGAATCTGGCCTGGCTGTGTGACTTGCTTCGGCCAATAGAACGTGATGCGAGTGACACTGTGCCAATGGACCAACCAGCTGGTGGTTTAGTCACTTCCATTGCCCAGGTGAGAGTCAGAGAGCTGCCACACCTGTGAGGGAAGCCACTGGGGACAAGCCAGTCCAGAGAAGAGCTGCCCAGCCCAGATCCCCCACCCAAGCCCCACTGGTGAGCGACCTGCAGAAGCAACAGCTACAGAAATGGCTGTTGATTCAACCAAGTTTCAGGATAATTAGCTACATAGCAAAAGCTGACTGATACATAAAGGACACTGACTGTGCAGGACCCTGTCATATGTACTTTACGCGTATTGCCTCCGTGAATTCCATTGTTACATAAACACTACTATAACCTTCACAAGAAAACTGAGGCTCAGAGAAGTTAAGTCACTTGCTCAAGTCCATTCTGCAGGCGAGTGGCAGAGCCAGGGTTCAAAGTAAGCACCACGGGACTCCAGAGCCTGCCAGAGGGTCCCCAGAGACCTGAGAACACTTAGACCTTCTAGACAGGACCTGCACCCCCACTCCCTCCCTCCTAGAGAGCCCTGATTAGCTCAGGCAAACCACACGTGGCCAGCGCACTGGGGAAGCCAGCTCCACCCCTAGCTCAGGACTGGCCACCTGGCTGGTCTCACCGGGAAGCTGGTCCCACCACCTGGCTGGTCTCACTGGGAAGCTGGTCCCACCACCTGGCTGGTCTCGAGATATACCCACTCCTTACAGGTGAATGGTTTAGGAAAGAGCATGTGAGGCAAATCAGGCCACTGAGAAATGAAGAGAGATTTGCTGGCGCTTTGATGGCATTTTCTTGCTCGTAAGAGGAAGACACAGAAACTGTCCCCCCTCTCCCTCGCCTTTTGGCCTCCTGCCCTGGTACAGGTACCTCCCCAGGAGACAACATGCAGATGAATTCAGGGGTCATCTCTTCCTACCGAAGGCTGAAAAAGTGGCTATGAAAGCCGAAGGGAGGGGTGGGAAGCCTATGGGCTCCTATGACCACACTGAGCTGCACAATCCACTTGCCCTGAGGCCCTCCTGATGGCTTAGGTACAATTCCAAAGCCAATGAGTATCTTTAACATCCAGGCATCTGAATCCCATTTCCCGATGCCTGCAGTCCAAAGCACCAGAACCAACGCACTCTCTTACCTGAGACTCGTGGATGACAATAGCCACAAGGCGGCTGTGGGCCGGGTTGGGAATTTGGTCCCACCATTCTTTCTTAATCCTGAAAAGAAAGGCAAACGTGTTAGTCTCTCCTCCCATAATCGCCAATACTTCCTAGGAGTCAGGGACCATGTTTATTGGTCTTGGATGTCTCACCCTAAGCCCATGAAACAGGTTCTACTGTAAACCCTGTTCACAGATGAGCAGACTGAGGCTCAGAGGGGTGAAGGGACAGCTGGCAGGCAGAAGAGCGGGTTCGTGCCCCAGCATTCTGCTACCCAGAACCGAGTTCCTAATGCACCACCTCTGTCCGCAGTGGGAACAAGCCCAGGGAAGTAGGAGAGACTCAAGCTGCAGAGAATTCTGGATGTGCCCATCAACAGTTCCCTCCATGGAGCAGCCAAGAGTAAGGTGCCAGGGAGAGACCTGGAGTGGCCTGAGAAGCTAAAGAAATCCAGGGAAAAAACAGATTCCTTCCCTGTCTCTGGGTCAGCCTGGAGCCATGAGTGTCAGCTCTGAGAGGGAAAGTCCTCAGATTTACCCCTGGATTAGCTCCACTGACTCCACTCAGTCAGTCAACATGTCCTTACTGAGCACCTACTATGTACCACTCACTGTGCCAGGCCTCGAGGACACAACAGTGAACAAGACAGAAAAAAGCCCTGCCCTCACAGAGCTGACCTTCTAAAAGAGGAGACAGATACAGAAATGATTATATATGACATTAATTATGCCAGTAAGTGCCATAAATAAAAATAAAGAAGATAAGAGAATAAAGAGGAATGGAGGGTGTGATCCAGGAAGGTCTCCCTGAGGAGGTGACCTCTGAGTGGCAACTGAAGCTGGAAGAGGAGTGAGTCATGGCAATGCAGGGGGAGGGGGGAGGGTTTTCCAGGTAGGGGGCACAGTGAGGGCAAAGGCTCGGAGAGAACTTGCTTGGTGCAATCAAAGAACAGCAAGAAGGCTGGAGTGCTAGACACAGTGAGTGGGGCTGGGAAGGACAGGCAATGGGGAAACTGAGGCTCAGAGAAGGGGAAAAGACCAGCCCAGGGTGGCTAAGAGGTTTCAATAACAATATGTGGAGAGAAAAACTTGCAATCCCTGCACACTTAATACGTGCCCAGCAGAGTGCAGGGCACCTGCTCATGTCAGTCCACAGCCATCACTAATCCTTACGTGGTAAGGCAGGGCTTGCTAGTCCCCTTTCAGAGATGGGAGGACTGAGGATCTGAGACACCATGTGTCCTAGGGCTCAAACTCACTGGAAACCAGGCTCCTCCCTCCAACCCTCTGTGATCCAAGACTCTCAGAACTCTTAGGACTGACGAAATACATTCTCGCTATATCTCAGCCTACAAAGGAGGAACTCAAGGTTGCTGGTCACACAGCTGCCAAGAGCCAGGGCAAGCATCCAAAGCCAGGTCTCCTGACTCTGTCAGAGCAACTGTCTAGAATTCCTCGGTCTAATGTCGCATGCCCTCAACTATCTGGACCATACCCTGGGCATGATCCATCTCCCTTTACCAAGGGAAGGCCCTTCCTCCAGCTCCACCCTGGCCAGCTCATTCCCCCAGGCAGGTCTCAGCTCCAATATCATCTCCTCTCCACCTAACACAGCACCCTGGAACATTTCTACCCTTCACCCTGGTTTATGTCCTTCAGTGCATGCATCACTGTGGAAAAGGCCGTGGTTATCTGTTGACCTGACATCTGTCTCCCAGAAGGCGCACAGGGTCCTTGTCAGTTTCGTTTCAGTTGTTGCCTCAGTCCCTCCCACATAGTAGCTGCTCGATAAACATTTACTGTTGAACGAAGGGCTGCAGGCTGACAGATGAGAGGAGGGATCCCTGCCCACTCCACACCCCAAAGGGGCTGGCCCACGACTCACTTGATGATGCTGAAATAGCAGAACAGGCAGATGATCAGGATGACAATGCAGGTGACGCTGACGGCGAGTGGGAGGTGCTGCTCCCAGGGCCACGTGTAGTCTGGAAGTGAGAGGGAAGCCGTGAGTCTGCATCGTGCTAAGTGCAGCCAGATCTCCATTTCCCAGAGCTGGAGACCGATGCCTCAGGAGTGTCTCCCGGCCCCCGCATGATCAGGCCACCACCAAGCCCTCTCCCCTCACCCCTTCACCCTCCCCCTTGCACACTGAGCCTTCGCCACACTGGCCTCCTCGCTGTCCCCTGCTCCTCCAAAGCTCAGGGCCAGCCCAGGGTCTTGAACTTGCCGCTCTTTTTCCTGAAGCACAGAGGTCAGGGCCAGTGACTCTGGACCTGGGCTACCTGAGTTCAAAGCCTGATTCCATCATATCCTCATTGGTGACCCAGGACATATCCCTCACACTCTGTGCCTCGGTTTCCTCACCCTTACAATGGGGTTAACAACCATACTGATCCCCGGCAGTAACGTGTGGCCATGCGGCCACAGGGAGTTGTGAGGATCACACGACTTTCTGTCTCCCGCCCTCAGAACAGTCCTGCGCGCCCCTGAGCACCTGCTGTTACCACCTGCGCCCAGCTGCCTCCCTCTCGTTCCCCTCCCCCGCACCAGCTGCTGCTCCCCTCTCATCACTCCATCCCCCACCCTGCTTTACTGTCTTCCAGACTTACTACCATCTGGATCTAGAGCTACCCGATTTCCTTTTTTGTTTACTGGTCTATTTTCTGTCTCCCGCAGACACACGTCCCCACACCCCACCCCCAATGCCAGTTCCACAAGAGCAGGGATTTTTGTCTGTTTTGTTCACTGCTGATTCCCCAGTGTCTAGTACAGGGCCAGGCACATAGTAGGAGCTCAATAAATACTTGTGGAAATAATGAATGTGTTTCCAGCACATCGTATATGTCCCATACAAGCCGTTTCTCTTCCTTTCCCTTCCCTTCCCAGGTCAACGGTAGAGTCAAATCAATTCAACAAAACTTTCCCAAGGACTGACTGTGCGCTCGGCCCTGCTCTGGGCACTGGAGACAGAGACACAGGACAGACACTACCCACGGAGCTCGCAGCCCAGGTGGGAGACAGGTGGGGGGTGGGGTGGGAGCACCTGCCAAGCACACTGTGCCAGCACTTTGAAGAACCCTTCTCTCGGTGAATGTGAACAGCCCCCCTCCTGCCCACTGTGTGCCCGACGCAGCCACCCCTCTCCTATCTCCCTCTCTTCTTTGCCAGGTAGCAATGTGCCCACCCTGAGGGTTGGGCCAATCACGATGGTCCAAGTCCCCTTTCCAGTCATTTGAGTTTCCCGCCTCCACTGCATTGGGAGAAGCCATGGGACAGTCCCGGCCAACGAGATGCAAGGGGAGTCTGCTAGGGAAGCTTCCGAAAAGCTTTTTTGCTTCCTGGCAAAAGAGAGAGATGAGCGAGGTACATTCCCTTGGGGCAGCCTTTCATCCCCTGTGGTCCTTGGGGTCTGCGGGCTGTGCAGCAGCCAACTTGGGGCCACGAGGTGACAAGTCTAAAGATAAAACACTGCTAAGTAAGGATGGCCGAGAAAAAGAAGGCAAGACGCCGGGGTGGCATCGCTGAGCCGCTGTATGAACTGGGGAGGTCCGCTTGTAAGACTTCATTTTATGTGCGATAATTCAACGTCTTTATTGCAAAAGCCATATGATAAAGTTGCAAAGAGTTGTTTAGGGGGATGCAGCTACAAGTGAGGGACGGCATTTCCCAGGATCTCTTGCAGTCATGTGTGGCCCTGTGGCCACTTTCACTAATAGAACCTGAGAGGGAGTGATGTGTGTCCCTTCCAGGCTAAGGCTTTTTTAAAATATATATATGTTTAATTGATTTCAGAGAGAGAGGAAGGGAGAGACAGAAACATCGATGAGAGAGAAGCATCGATCGATTGGCCGCCTCCTGCACACCCCCCACTGGGGATTGAGCCGGCAACCAGGGGATATGCCCAGGCTCAGAATTGAACCAGCGACCTCCCAACGCACTGGACAGTGCTCAACCAACTGAGCCGCACCAGCTGGGCCAGGCTAAGGCTTTTAAGAAGCAGGTGTGGCCTTAGCCACTTGGGCTCAGTGGTTAGAGCACTGGCCCATGGACTGAAGGGTCCCAGGTTTGACGCCAGCTAAGGGCACGTGCCTTGGTCGCAGGCTCGATCCCCAGGCCCAGTCAGGGCACGTGCAAGAGGCAACCAATCGATGTGTCTCTCTCACACCGACGTTTCTCTCTCTCTCTTTCCCTTCCACTCTCTCTGAAAAGCAATGGAAAAAATATCCACAGGTGAGGATTTAAAAAAAAGAAGTAGGTATGGTCTCCCTGCTCTCATTTCCCTTCTGCTGGCTGGATGCAGACAATGGCAGGGCCCTTAGAGATTATTAACTTGGGGTCCACAGACCTCTAACAAGGTTGCAGACAGAATTCAGAGGTTGGCACTGGATCAGAAAGAAGCGGCATCTTTATTTTCACTAGCTCCCGACACCTAGCATTTTATTTTATCCCTTTAAAAACATTACTTGGCATAACCCACGGACACAGACAATAGTGTGATGAAGGCCTGGGGCGGGGAGT